TCCTTACCACAGAGACACAAAATCTCAGAGTAGGGAAGTCCAAACCTTCTCACAATGCAATTAGGAAACATGCCCAGAGAGGAGAAGCAGCTTGCTCAGGGTCATGTGGCCAAAAGAGTCGGAGCTTGGATTTGATCCACTTTAGAAGGATGCTCTTCCCTAGAGCCAGGTTCTCAGCCATTTACCTATATAGATGCCAGGCACCATGTTAGGCACCAAGGAATAAACATGAATAAACACAGGCCTTGCCTTACAAGACTCAGAGGTAGGGAGACAGGGTGCTCTCACCACCACCTGCAGAAAGACTTACCCTCCAAATGCCAAGGACCACCTGCTAAGGAAGAAGTTGCTATCAGCTGGGGCAGTCACAGAGGCCTCCTGGAGGGGGTGGGTCTAAACCATCAGATGAGTGGGAAGAGCGCTGCCCTGGCCATCCAGGCAGGAGGGGGAAATGGAACGCGCATGACCCACCTTCCTGGGGAGATGCTCCCTTTGGGGGATTGTGACGACAAGACTGGAAGGCAGTTTGAAGACTAGATCAGAGAAAGCCCTAAATGATAGCTGGGAGTCTGACCTTCACCCCATCAGCAGTGGGGTCGTTATATAAGAGAAAGTTTTTTCCTGAAGTAAGAAGAGGTCCTCCATAAAGGGGTTTACTGGGAAATTTACCTGGCAGCAGCTCACAGGTAGACTGCCTGGGAGAAAACCTGAGGTACCCAGCATGTCTATGTGAGTGTTGTCTCTAGGGATGAGTGTGAGTGTGTGTGAGCGTATGTGCGCGTTCGTGCATATGCACATGCATGCATTTGTGCACACACAAGCCTGGTTTCACAAAACTACCCTGCTCTGCTCTCATGGAGAGATGATGGATGACCAACTCCCCGCCCCTTCTGTCTCCTTCTCTTCTCGTAACCACCCTGAATGGGCCAGAGAGTAGCTTCCTCCCCCAAACATTCTGCATGCCCAGCACCCCAGCATGCATACAATCAAACCCTCTTAAAAACAGAGACACACTCACAGTAGGAACAGAGTGAGAATTTCCCCTCCTGACACTGCCCCTAGATCCCATACCAGTAGTGACAGACACCAAGATACCAGGAAAAGGTGGGGAGTGGGGAGCCTGACCATCCCCCAGCCTGAGGAGCCCCAAGGGCAGTGAGGAATCTGGTGAGGAGGATGGAAGGGCACTGCTGAGGAGGACAGCCCAATCCACTGTGGTCCATGTACACTAGGAGGGGGGGTAACTAAAAACACCCTGGAAGACAAGTGGAGATGAGGGGAGCCAATCAAAAGAGGGCTCACTGGGAGGGGCTACAAGCCCACCGCCCCTTGCCTTCCTGCTCTCTACCCTCACTATAGATAGGTGCTGACGGAAGCCAAGGAGTGGGGGGAGACCCACCTTACCTGGCCTGTGGTTATGTTTTCTCCTCCTTTGGGGCCCTGGGATCTCAGGCCATCCCTCTCCCTTCTCCCCTCAGGCAAGAGATCCCCAAAGATGAGGAACTGTGACTAATGAATGAATCCTAGTGAGGGTCATCATTTCTGTGACCTGCAGCTATCAATTAATAGTGATCAGCATTTATCAAGGCCACGTCATCATATCCACTGCCACCCAGAGAAAAGGGAACGGCAGTCATTCACCAGCTCTGCTCCTCCTTC